CACCTAGATGAGTCATAGTCATTGCTTGACCAATTTGCTCTCTGTGAAAGCATGAAAGAATTTATTCTCTTAGGTGACTCTCCTTAGGCACACTCTATATAATCAATCACTTTTCTCTGTGGCCCCATAATCTCCTTAATCAGAAAATTTGGGGCATCACTGAGTTACAGGATGTTGCAGTACAGGTTCTCTTATGTTCTGAGTCCTCATTGGCCTTGAAGGGGTAGGACCACAATGTTGGTTGTCCTTGCAGCTCTTCATTTTCTCTATTTTTTCTTTTCAGTACCAGGGACTGAACTCAGGACCCCATACTTGCCAGGCAAGCACTTATTCTACTGAGCTATCTCCCTGGCCCCGGTTAATTCTAATTTTTTGCCTGCAAACTTAAGTTGTTAACTCTCCACAAGACAAGCTTAATGATAGTATTACCCTAAAACAGGCTGTTGAGCTTAACATCAGTTTCTGTTTGAATATCAAATGCCTTAGACATAACATGGAACAGGTATTTTCCATCAATCATTGATAAGCAGGACAGTCCTATGACTTTTCTTGTCTTTTGTTTTCATTTATCACCTTTTTTCTTTTTGTTGTGTTATAATTTATAAATAGCATAAATGATTTATAATTAGGAAAAAATTAGACAATAGAGTTTTGTGCTATGTGGTATTCCCTGCAAGTGCAAAACATAATTCCTTGAAATATAATATCATAGGTTGCTTTTAGAGGCAATTGAGAGAGATAAAACATTAATGATCTGGAAGCAGAGGTGTCTCAGTTAATCTTCTTTGTTGCTCGCCCAAATACCTGATACCCAGAGTTAAGGAAGGAAAGGTTTATTTAGGTCACAGTTGGTTAAGGTTTTAGTCCATACTTGACTGGCTCTAAGGCAGAATAGCACGTTGCAGGGAGCAGCAGTTTATGGTGGCGGAGAACAGCAAAGAAAAGGGAGGAGATGCAGCTGTGGCTTCTTGCAAGCCTCTCTCCCTTCCTTCTGTGCTAACTGTGAAGTCCCGAGCTCCTCTGAGGAAGTGGCATACAGAATCCTTCCTCAACTCCATTTTATATCACTTTTGTGCTGAGTCACTTTGGGGCAGGCCCTCCATGCATTAGGGTGAGCCCTCCACCCCTACGAAGGGGCCTCCATGCTGAGGTCAATCCAGCCAAGCTTCCAACTTCTCAAGTTGATACAGTGTATCAGTCACCAC